TCAGAAATGATTTGGCAAACTTAATTATAGGCAATGGCATCAGAGCTGCTTAAAATAAAAGTGAAAGGGGGGGCCCAGACAAACAGGGCAAATGAGAGAATGAACAGCTGACAGACATAGGAAAACACTGCCTTCCCCACCGGTGTACAGCAAGGCATCTGAACTGCCACTGCATACATGACAATGGGAGAAAAGAGACAGTCAATCCCATCCATATAGAACTGCAACAAGTCCCACTGACAGCTGCCACTTTATGTGCTGTCGCGAGACAGCTATCCTCTCTCCCACCCACATAGTTGACAAAATTAGTCATATTGGTAACAGAAGTTAGCAATAAGACAAAATTAGTTAAAGTTGCCTATCATTTTCATAGGCAGGCAAAACATACAGTACCTGATGGTCTAATGGATATGTGACATGGACGTGGTATGCCTCCTGGGATGAGGTTTACCTGGGTGGTCGACAAATACCTTTGATGTCGCCACCCGCGCGTCCAGACTATCGCGCTGAGCCGACAAACAGCTGATCAGCTGTTTGTCGGCTCAGCGCGGCAGCCATGTAAATTTAAATGAAGCGGCGATTATTTAAATTGCTGCTTCATTTTCCTAAGTCTGGTAGCCTAATCTACATGCCTCTGGCGACAGAGGCATGTAGTCTAGACGTACCCTGAGTAAAATGGACCAGACAGGCATAAGGAACCTTGAAAGCCCCAGTTCCAACAAAGGGAGGTTTCCCCCAGTGCAGGCACTGCATGAGACAGCCATGAGGCTGCCCTATGAGGATCCACTTACAAATCTGACACAGGGGGTGTACTGCGGGTGGATCTAGGAGTGGGAGGGGAGAACTGGAAAACAGGGCCATATCATGCAGTACTGTGAAAATTTCAGGCAGTGCTGTGACTTCCATCAGACTCCCAGGACTGCCCTATAAAACTTATATAGCCCTAAGAGGCCTAAGTTATTCAGGTGGCCATATCAGTCCCTGAAGCAATCAAGGACCAGCGTAGCACAAAGACTAAGGTGCCTTAATCATCCTCTCAGCAGATTCAGTTATTTGCTGTACTTCTTAGAGAGACAACACAGAATCTCATGCCTAGTGTCTGATTTGTCAGAGGCTCAGTGGCTCCCTTTGATTTCATCTGCTGCGCTGGGAAAAATCAAGCCTAAGTACTTCAGTGTGGACACCCTCCCAAAATAATCAAAGGGTGCTATTGAGAATATGGATCTGTGTGCTTGGGTCTCCACTGGGTTTTAGGTATACTTCTGAACTATAGGGAAATAAGGCCCTGCAAACCAGCTAGTATTCTGCAATTGACTTTAATGGGAACAGGATTGGACCATTGAAGTGAAAAAAGTTGGCTGCAGATCCTACTTAAAAGGGTTTTTTTCCCCCTCAGCCTAAATGATACATACTGCAAGGAGAGAGAGAAAACAAACACTGTAGACAAATTGGAAGCGTCATTGATTTGCCTTTAGAGTATGTGTGTGGGGGGGGTGTCTGATTCTCAACTGTTCTGTATTTCCTATTATTGTTGAGTACAGTGTTGTGGTAGCACTTTACATTGATGCTAATGTTTTGGCAGCATTTTGCATTGCTAGAAATAACTAGGTGCAGGGCAGCTGAGAGTCAGATCATGCCTTTTCATCCTGTTAGTCACTGATGATTTTTCCAATTAGACTAACGTGCCCATTGGCGCAGGGTAAGTTTAGGTTCACACCGTGTTATAGTTGTGTTTTCCTCTAGGACCATGTTCTAATAAATAACCATGTTATTCAGGCACACGGACAGTGGCGCTTGAAACGGGAAGGTTTGATCAGTCTAGCGTGACATACCACTTTCTTCAGACATCTTTTGTATTTCTGTAATGAAGAACTCAGCAGCATTTGGGATGAACTGTTTTTCTACAGGACTATTTGTACCAGACTCTCCAGTGTGCTATATTCACTTCATGATATACCACAGGCAGATTCTGGGGCCCTAAGGCTAGCACAGCTGACCAATGGAGGTATCTCTAGTACAGGGGTGGGCAAATACTGGCTCTCGGGCCAGATATAGTCCACCAGGATTCGTTCCTGGCAGGCCCCCACCACTATATTTATCTGCATGGCCACAGGTACCAGTGATTGCGGCTCCCATTGGCCGCAGATTGCCATTCTGGACAATGGAGCTGCGGGAAGCAGTGTCCTGGTTCACGCTGCTTCCGCAATCTGCAGCCAATGGGAACCACGATCGATGGTACCTATGGCCATGCAGGTAAATATAGTGGGGGGGGGGGCCTGCCAGGAACTAACCTGGGTGAACTGCTGATGTGTTATTGTCCACTCCTGGCCTAGTATCTAGGAACCCTTTGCTGGTATAGAGCCAAGGCACTGGCTCCTTCATCAGCCTTCACCTCCTCGCTGTGTGATAAACAGTTTGGCTGAGGCCTCTCTATACCCCACTGATCCCCAGGTGCTACACTATTTCCTTTGAGTGATTTAAGCTACACCAGGAGGCCAGTCCAACACACTGCCAGACCAGCACTGGGGGAGCAGATCCTTGCATTTTCTCCCTTGCCCAGCTCCACGAGAGCTGCACTGTTGCACAGCAGAGGATCTGGGTGGTCATCTCTCAGTAGTATATGCTCAAATAAAACCTGTTGTAAAGTTCACTTCTGTGACAAGAGTAGCTCAATGTAAGAGAACGCTCAAAGTCCTCGGACCTCATTCTCCTCTTGCTTATACCAGTGTAACTTAGAAATGGTTCCACTGAAGCCAATGGAGCCAAAACTGAGATAAGATAGCAAAGAATCAGGCTGTCAGTGTGCGATACTGAAGAGCTGGTTCCACCTGACAGCTCTACAACACTCATCATCAGTTATCAGGCTTTGTTTCATAAAAGTACACAACCATACTTCCCATCTAAGCAAAATTAAAGTGTTAGGTGTTAGAATAAGGTAAAGCAGAAATATCCCCGAGACTCGTTATATATGGACCAGATCTGGGTAACAGTCACAACTCCCAAATGCAATCCCAAGTAAAGCAATAGAGGTCTCAGCTAACTAGAAAAGCATAATTATTACAGCTATAAATTACTAGGTTTGCATATTTAACAAACTGGAATAAAGTAATGCTCTATGAGCACTTCAGTTTGATTTTTCACAATACATATTGTAAAACTAAAAATTATCTTTTATCCCTATAAGTAATAATATATATTCTAAATGGAGGGAAACTTTATATATTACTGTAGAGATTTTAATCACATTGACTCCTAGTTATGGTAACAAAGTAAGATATTGCTTAGAAGTTAAATATTTTAGAGAGGCAGACCAGAACCTGAAATTAATTCCTTGAACCCACTCTCGGGGTACGTCTAAACTACATGGCTCCGTCGACGGAGCCATATAGTTTAGACGTACCCCGAGAGTGGGTTCAAGGAATTAATTTCAGGTTCTGGTCTGCCTCTCTAAAATATTTAACTTCTAAGCAATATCTTACTTTGTTACCATAACTAGGAGTCAATGTGATTAAAATTTCTACAGTAATATATAAAGTTTCCCTCCATTTAGAATATATATTATTACTTATAGGGATAAAAGATAATTTTTAGTTTTACAATATGTATTGTGAAAAATCAAACTGAAGTGCTCATAGAGCATTACTTTATTCCAGTTTGTTAAATATGCAAACCTAGTAATTTATAGCTGTAATAATTATGCTTTTCTAGTTAGCTGAGACCTCTATTGCTTTACTTGGGATTGCATTTGGGAGTTGTGTTGGAACTAGTTTGGATCTCAAACTGTATAGATCCTCTCTCCTGGTTCGGTTACAGCCAGACTCTCTCAAGAGCAGCTGATCAAAACAGATAAAGATGGCAGAAGTCTCAGAAGATCAGTGACTTCTTCAACTTGCATTCTAAAAACTTGTGAAAATATCTTGCAAGATTTCAGTTCAAGTGATTTTCAATCATAGCCTTAACTAGCAAAAAGAACAGGAGTCTTAAAACTACACTTGATTTAGATACTATCCCTTATGTTTTACAAGACAGGTTCATATAAAGGGCAAAATTATGCCACACATTACTTCAAAGAATATAATCATTGACGTTTTAAACTTAATTGTTTAGTGAAAGGGAACACAAGCCCTAAATACGATTTTAAGTGGTCATTTACCTTTATAATTGCATTCATTGCATTGCACTAGTCAGAAACTAACTCTCACCAACTGAACTTGGAGTCTAAGGTTTTGTTTTATGTATTAATAGTTTAATAAATAGTTTAATCCAAACTTTAATGTTAATAGTTTAAGATGGAATTTTCAAAATTGCTGGGTATTGGCTGAACATTACTCCCAGTGAAGTTATTGGTACAAATCCCATAGAATTTTGAGGGAACAGTTTAGGCTAGTGCCAAATGTTTTGAAAGTCTCACCCTTAAACTTTACCACATTTGAATATATGCACACATATATACACATACACTTACGTTTGTAATGGCTAGCAGGTTCCTCTACAACCCCAAACAACCAACAGAACCAATATGAAAAGAGAATCAAGCTCTCATTATCCTGTGTTTTGGCCTAAGTTGAAAAATATCTTTAACTTTGATATTTGGAAAGAATTATATCATGGTGGATGCTACACCAAAAATCAGAGTGTAAACCAAACCCAGAGGCTACGTCTAGACTGGCATGATTTTCCGCAAATGCTTTTAATGGAAAAAATTTCCGTTAAAAGCATTTGCGGAAAAGAGCATCTAGATTGGCATGGACGCTTTTCCGCATAAGCACTTTTTGCGGAAAAGTGTCCGTGCCAATCTAGACGCACTTTTGCACAAAAAAGCCCCGATCGCCATTTTCACGATCGGGGCTTTTTTGCGTAAAACAAATCTGAGCTGTCTATACTGGCCCTTTTGCACAAAAGCTTTTGCGCAAAAGGACTTTTGCCCGAATGGGAGCAGCATAGTATTTCCACAAGAAGCACTGATTTCTTACATGAGATCGTCAGTGTTCTTGCGGAAATTCAAGCGGCCAGCGTAGACAGCTGGCAAGTTTTTCCGCAAAAGCAGCTGCTTTTGTGGAAAAACTTGCCAGTCTAGACACAGCCAGACAGTGTTACTACAGGAGTTATAATATAAATGTGCAAGCACACCATAAATAATCTTCTGGCCTCCTCTCCAGAAAAGAAAGGAAAGGTCATCTTTTACCATGTGTTAACAAAACACATTACTTGTGAACACCATATGTATATCACTCAGAACAAACAGCCTTAGATGCACCTTTATCTAATCACTGTCTGTAGTGAAAAAACAGACTGTACCCTCCACTAGGTGCTTGACTTCATGTAATCTTCACAGATGATTTCTTTTGTGCGCAAAGGAGGGTGACATAGGGAACACCAATGAAAGCCCATTTTTCACTGGGCCAGAACTTTATGACAGGGCCCTGCTCAGGGACCTCAGAGACAGCATCGAAGTAGGCAAAACAAACACAGCCTAGGTAAGCAGCAAGACAAATGAGGATGTGCCTAAGAACAGAAAACAAAAAGGAAAAAAAAACTGTCATATGGCTTTAGTATACGTGTCGAATAGATCACCAAGTTTTCAGCCCAATGCCTTTCTCTTATCAAAAAAAAAACAGTCATATGGCTTCAGTATACGTGTCGAATAGATCATCAAGTTTTCAGCCCAATGCCTTTCTCTTATCCCTCCTGAGCATGGCTAGTGCCAATCCCTGTTCTTTTTGGACTAACAAGATGTAGCATATGGAAAACTATCATAGAATCACAGAACTGTAAGGAAACTTGAGAAGTCATCAAGTCCAGTCACCTGCACTTATGGCAGGACCAACTACTATCTACACCATACTGGACAATGTTTGTCTAACCTGCTCTTAAAATCTCCAATGATGGAGATTCCACAACCTGCTTAGGAAGTTTATCAGGGTGCATCTACACAGCACCATAGGTCAAAATAAGATACCCAAACTGAGCTTTACAAATTGCTTATTATTTCAAAATAGCTTATTTCAAAATTTGGCGCTGTCTACAGAGCACTTACTTTGAAATAACTCACTATTCCGAAACATCCCTTACTCCTTGTGGATTGACGTTTATTTGACAGGAATGTCAGAATAACATGCCCATTATATTTTGAAATAATGGGCACACTCAAAAGACGTGGAATAGCTATTTCAGGATATCTCTGCAGTATAGATGTAGCCTTACAGTGGTTATCCACCTTGAGAGTTAGAAGGTTTTTCCTAATGTCCAACCTAAATGTCCCTTGCTACAATTTAAATCCCTTGCTTCTTGTCCCATTCTCCAGTAATTTTTCCTCACTCCTAACATCCTTTTAGGTATCTGAAAGCTATTACATCCCCTCTCAGTCTTCTCTTTTCCAGACTAAACAAACCCAATTATTTCTTTCAATCTACCCTTATAGGTCATGTTTTTAGACTTTTGAGCATTTTTGTTGCTCTTCTATGGATTTTTTCCCCTACTTTACAAATCTTTCATGAAATGTGGCACCCATAACTGGACACAATACTCCAGCTGAGACCTAATCATAGTGGAGCAGAGTGAGTGGAAGAATTATTTCTTGTATCCTACTTACAATACTCCTGCTCACATCCCTGAGGGTGTGTCTAGACTACATGGATCCATCGACGGAGCCATGTAGATGAGTTTACTAGACATAGCAAAATAATCACCGCTTCATTTACATCAAAATGGCTGCTGCACTGTGCCGATCAGCTGATTGTCGGCACAGCGCGGTAGTCTAGATGGGGATCAGCCGACCCCAGAACCCTTTGTCATCAGATCCTTTATGTAAGTGTGCAACTGATCGTTCCTTCCTAAGTGGAGTATGTCCTTGTTGAATTCCATTCTTTTTACCTCAGATCATTTCTCCAGTTGGTCCAAATCATTCCGAATTTAATCCTCTCCTCCAAAGCATCTGCAACCCCTCCCAGCTTGGTATCATCTGCAAACTTTATAAGAGTAGTCTCTATGCTATTACTTAAATCATTAATGAAGTTATTGAACAGAACCAGACCTAGAACTGATCCCTGCAGAACCCCACTCATTATGCCCTTTCAGTATGTGAAACCATTGATAGTTACTCTCTGGGGCCTGGTCTACACTACAGCAGAAGGTCGACTTAAGATATCCAATTCCAGCTACGTTAATTATGTAGTTGGGAGCTGACGTATCTTAAATCATGTTTCTATGCCAACCACACAGTGGGAAGTTGATGGGAGCAAACGCTCCCGTCAGCTTCCCTTACTCCTTGTGAAGAACAGGAGTACCACTGCTGATGGAAGTGCCCTCTGAGTTTGATTTAGCACAGGGGTGGGCAAGAGGCTGCCAGTGGGCTGGATCCGACCTGCCAAGCCAACAGACCTGGTCTGCGGCCGCTTCACTGGAACCCTGAGACAGGGCCGGTCCTAACCAATTGGCGGCCCTGGGCGACTACCCGGCTTGCCTATAGGGTTCCCAGATGGTTTTTAAAAAAATACCAGACAAAAATTTGTCAAGCAAAAAGAAAGAAAAAAAAGCTGGGGGGAGAATTTGGGAGGTCGGGCCAAAATGCAGTCACGACCCGCCCCTAACACCAGCTCTGTCAGTGGCCCTTTGAAAATGGTGGCCCCGGGCCCATAAGACACCTTAGATAGAGAACAGCTCACACTTTAAAAAGCCAGCTGCTCTCTGCTCTGGACAGTTGGGGAGGGAGGAGGGAGACTTCTCACGCTGTTCCCGCCCCCCGCCCCCCAGCAAAATATCTCAGCTCCCATTGGTCAATCTCTCAGTTTCTGGCCCTAGACCACGTGCCAAAATCTTGGAGTCCCCTCCACTCCCCCGGACATTAAAAATTATTGCCCACCCCTGATTTAGTGGGTCTATCAAACCCTGGAAGATCGACCGCAGAAGCATCAATCTTCCACGTAGTGTAGATGCAGCCTTGGAATGGTTATCCAACCAATAATGCATCCACCTTATAGTACAGGCAGTCCCCGGGTTACGTACAAGATAGGGACTGTAGGTTTGTTCTTAAGTTGAATCTGTATGTAAGTCGGAACTGGCGTCCAGATTCAGCCACTGCTGAAACTGACCGCAAGTTCTGACTTACATACAGAATCAACTTAAGAACCCCAAGCGTCCC